TGGACTAGATGACCCACAGAGGTCCCTTCCAACCCCTACTATTCTGTGATTCTGTGTTAATGCCAGCCTGCCGCAAACGCTAACATCTGGTACTCTTTGCAGCAAGCAAAGCAAGTCCTGCCTCATGCAGAAATGGAAAGGCTGGGATAAAGTTGTTCTATAATACTGCTGAGTGTTCCGGGGAAATCGGTGTTCTGGTGTGTCTTGGTGGAAGAAAGTAACTGCTGTCTGTAGCTGAAGGAGTAACAGCAGTTTGAGAAGAACTCAGTAAAGCGTTCTTCGGCGCAAGAAATCTGTCTGCCCAGTAAGTGTAGAGCAGGTGACTGTATGGTGTCAGTGCTAGCGCCACTCCTGAATTGGCACAGGTTGCTTTTTGAGGGAACACCTCATCTTAAATGATTTGGATATGACCTGAGAACCTGATGAGTCCCAGGTTCTGCTCAGGGAAAGCAGAGGGGCTCCTGATCAGGGACTGACGAGTCAAGTCACTCCTATGCTCTGATCTTGACCAGTTCCTTAAAGCTCAGATGATTATTAAGGAAAGCCTGGTGATGGAGTGTAAAAAGGTAAGCTTGTATTGAGGGGGAATCGGGAAAGGGCAGCTTGGAATATCTTCCATCAGCTCTTCTGCTTGAGCTGAAGGTAGTTGTTCAGTGACCACAAGGTGTTGCTAGAGGAGACTCTGTACCTTTCTGTCTTCTCTCTTCAGGATTCAGTACAGGTGTGTATTGCAGAGCCTCACATCCCTGTATGGCATCTTGTCGACATCCCTTCGTCTGGTGTCCGAGACCCAACAGATGCCTTATATCAAGGGGTTTACCTTCCCTTCTGATATCAGTAACTTCCTTGGAGTTAACGTTTCCTCTGAGGTGAAGAAGCAAAAGGCTAGAATGCTGACAACAAAAAAACCTACCAGCTGGCTGAAGAAGCTCTCCCCAGAAATGCCAGAGGCAGTGTCACAGGTTGGGAAAAAGAGAAATTTTGCGACCTGCACGAGTGCTGTGAAAAACTGTAGCATCGCCATGGACATCGGCGAGCCAGTTCTGGTGACCAGAGCCAGCAGAGGTAAAGCCTTGTGCCACAGTGCCACTTGTTTCTGACATCTGAGACCGACTGCAACTTCTGTCTAACACAGCCACGCAAGCGCTTCTGCTACCCCCAGAGTGCGGTTCTAGTACAAACTCCCCTCTCCGGTCCTTGGAAGAGGAGGAGAATGCTGCACATAACCCTTCAAAAGCTTCACAGAGCTGTGGATAATGTCAGTATTGTGAGGTTTTTTGTTGGTTTTTTTTTTTAAACATGACACAGTGTGGAGAGAAGGTAATGAATGCAATATACATGTCCTGTAAACAGTCATTCATAGTTTCCTGCTTTTGCATAGGTGGGGCCCAAGCATAGTGAGCGAAACTAAGAGCACTGTCTGCAGTCCATACAAGAGCAGATAAGGTTGTAAGTACAGGATGCAAGTATCCTGTGCTTGCTGGTTCTGGGCTGTGCCAAAGTCTTCCCCTGCAGTCAGGGCTATGGCCCAGGTGTTTGCGTGAAGCTTTTACCCATGAAGTTCCCCTTTGCAGCCATCTGTAAAACTCTGCATCCTCTTCATCCCTTGCCAGCTGCCATGTGAGATGAGTGTAGTGCCCCTGAGTTTGCCTGGAAATGCCGAGTACAGGTGTGAACCTACAGAGATGGCAGGAGGTCTGAGAGCTCAGCAGGGCAAAGCACTGCGGTGTCTCTGTGCAACAACTTGAAACTGGCTTTACTTCATAATGCAAACCCTCCTCTCTCTTCGTAGGGAAGCACCTGGAGTTTGATGTGAAGAGCTTACTTAGACCATCCAGACCTCCAACACAAGAGGTTTGTATGGTACTGTTTTATGCTTTCTTTTTTTTAAGTCCCTAACACTCAAAACATGATAACCCTGATTGAAAATGTCCCCTTTCCCTGCCTTGTTTTTGCTTGTCTGACAACCCAAATTGTCATGGAAGCTTTGCACTGAAAATCACTACTAATTTCTGCTTAGGAATTTTAGTATTTATTGGTACATCACGTGAAATGACCAGAGAGCAAGTCAGTAGTAGACAGGCATGCAAATTCTAACTGTCTCTTCTTTTTGTATTCTACAAAACAAGACTGCTCTTCCACTTTTTTCTTGGGAAATAAGGAATGTTCTCTGAAAAACCTCAGTGCTCTGCTCCTGTCCAGCAGAGAGGATCAGGCATGTCATTTTAAAAGACTATTTCTATTACCCTTTGTTTCAGGGTATAAGCACTGCATCAACACCTTTTAAAGCAAAGTCGGCATCGCTTTCGTCTCGTATAGCAAAATTGCAGCATTCTGGATCTCTTGTACAGATGGTCCAAACAGCTGCGTCATTTGGGGAGCTCTCAGAGGCACTCAGAAAAGCTATTCTGTGGTGCAGAGGCAACAAATTCAGATCAGCAGCTTATTTTCTGCGTAACAAGTTGCTGAAAAGCAACCGGCTGCACCACGTGGAGGCTCAAGGATGCAGGTAATTTTGCATGGGTGTGGGGTTTCTGGATCTGACACTTTACACTGTAGCAAAGTATATAATCATAGAATCATAGAATGGTTTGGGTTGGAAGAGACCTTAAAGATCATCTGGTTCCAACCCCCCTGCAGTGAGCAGGGACATCTTCCACTAGACCAGGTTGCTCAGAGCCCCAGCCAACCTGGCCTTGAACACCTCCAGGGAGGGGGCAGCCACAGCTTCTCTGGGCAACCTGTTCCAGTGCCTCACCACCCTCACGGTGAAGAATTTCTTCCTAATATCTTAGCTAAATCTGCCTTTTTTTATTTTACAGCCATTCCCCCCTTGTCCTATCACTACACACCCTTGTGAAAAGTCCCTCTCCATCCTTCCTGTAGGCCCCGTTCAGGTACTGGAAGGCTGCTCTAAGGTCACCCCGGACCCTTCTCTTCTCCAGGTTGAACAGCCTCAGCTCCCTCAGCCTGTCCTCGCAGGAGAGGTGCTCCAGCCCTCTGTAGAGAAACGCAGTGGTCTAACCCGTTCTTTCTGAACTCAACTGGGGTCACTAGTTCAGGTTACTGGACTCTCTGACATAAACATTCTGTTTGGTGTCAGTCATTTGTGAAAGGATTTAAAAGGCTAACCAATGCACAAATACTTAAGCAGGAGGATGAAGATGCAACTTAAATCATGTGCATGTTTAATGTTAACGATTATATGATGCAAGAAGTGTTGCCTTTTCAGAATGCTGTATTGTGGCTACCATTCTACAAGGTCCTGTTGTCTTTCCTGAGTATGACAAGCAAAATGGTAGAGAAGGCTAATAACCAAATCTCTCCAAACCCCAAATGAAATAACACTTTAGCAGCTGATAAAGTTATGTTTTGTGCATCTTCCTCCCCTTAAGCTTGAAGAAAAAACTGTGCTGTGTCAAAACATCTGTCCGTAAATACCTCCTGTACGGGTCACAAAGCACACGCTGGCCAAAGCAATACCTGATGGCACGGTTCTGTCGAAGGAGGATCACATCATCCATGCACTTGAAGAGAACTCTGAAGACTGTTTGGAAAAAACCTTCTGAACTGTCTGCGGTCTGTGAGAGCAGCACATCACTCATCCTCCCAGCTTACCAGGATGGGCCTCCGAGTTGGGAAGGACAGTCCAACGCTGATACAGGCTGTGTCAAACGAAGCACAGCAGGGACCCCTAAGCGGCTGCTGCTGGAAGGAAGCCCTGGACCCCTGTGGGAAGAAGCTGCTGAGAACATGGATATTGATTCTATTTTTGCAGCAATGGGTGTCTGACCCTGGACTTGCAAGGAGGAAAGGGGTCAAGTCATTCCAATTTTTGTTGTGGTTTTTTTTTTTAGTAAAAACCCTCAGAACCCTAATGGTGTCTTGGTACTTAAACCCTGAATTGTTAAGAAAGTAGCAACTATTTTATTATGGTTTTGTAAAGCAGCTATATTAATGGAAGGGTGTTCCAAGCAGCTGAATAGCCTTCATCCTTTTACCTAGCCTTGTCCAGGAGCAGGGGTAAGGAAAGGCTGTAAGTGCAAGTAAAGCTGAAATAGGTTAACTTCAGTTTCCTAGGCTTAATAGTGGTAGAAAACAAAGAGCTGTGCCCATTGGGACAGACGAAAAAATAACCTTCCTAGGCAGTTAAGTGCTAAAACCCTGTATTATGCACCTTGTGTGAATCCATCAGTGAAAGTTTAGTTATGAGGAGTGGGCACAAACTTAAAAAGTTTATTCAAAGAGCACATACAGAACAAAGAGCAGAACTTTGGTGTTGAAGACTGTCCAGTTAACCAAGATCCATTTTCTAGGTTTCATGTCATAGGAATACCCAGCGATAACCGAAACAGTTGCAGAGAATTGCCCATCATTAGTCCTCTAGGTATCCGACTGAACACAACCCTACTTCAAACAGACTTCCCGCCACTATAAGAATCATTACAGAGATCTTTTCTCACTTCATAAAATGGCATAAAATTACCCAAGTATGCCACATACAATCAGGTAGCATTCAGCTGCTTGGATAATTTCAGAAGCAGCTGGGAGTGAGGGCAGACATCTCAGCAGTCACCTCCAGCCTGACTGGCCCCTCCAAACAACACCCATGACGTTCCTTCCTTCTGGGCAGCAGGTGCCCAAGTAATGCCCCAGTGTAGCCTGCACACAGAGTCAAGATCCGTAGTTCGCTTCATCAAAGGCCTTTCTGGCTCGTTTCAGTTCTTCGTTCATGGTTAGGAGGTCTTTAACTCTGGCAAACTTCCGGGGGTCCTTGCGGATCAGAAAGACAATGTCCTCAACCTGTACACGGCCCTGCCGCCCAATGGACATGGCCTTGTGTGTCTGTTAGAGGAAAAGAGGAAAGTCATCAGGGTTTCTGTGCCCCTTAGCTTCTTTAAAACTCTCAATTCCACTTTATTTCCTGTCATTTTATAATCAAAAGGCAAGCAATGGCAGGATCAGGGCACCACCATCCTAGTCACCAGAGAACTTCCCAGTAAGCCATGGACTTGCTGTTGCTCTGCTGTCCCCAGCTGCCTGTCGGTTACACCCAGCACATGCCACTATACACACATGACAGTAATGGCATCAGAACTAGAGCTGGGTTCCGTGTGGGACACCCAGTCTGCAGAGTGCTTGAAGGTGAACAGCATCAGGCAGAACTTGGAAGCAACGTGAAGTACCTGTAGCACAGGACAGTTTAGGGCATTTTGATGAGGGAAGGCAAGGCCAACCTTTCAAAAGAAAGGGGATCCACAAACAGTAGGAGTAACTTTTTTTTCAAAAAATAAAGTTTCAAACAGTATCCAAACGTCTGGAAGAGGGATGGCTTCAGGCCCCAGAAGCTCTGACTACTGCTGTAGCACAGAGCTATGTTCCCATCCGTGTAAAGACAGGAGGAGTACACAGAAAGTCGGCAGACTCGGAAAACTGACCCTTGTCTTTTATCAGCTGCACGCACAGTGGTGCCACCAAAGTGAACCCCAGAGTCATCCGCGTGTTCCCCCCCACCCCCAATACCAATCTGACTGCTACTTAAGGACTTTGTTCTGAATCCAGATGGAGCAAGAGGCATGAATTTTGCCTTAATCTTGGAAAAGCAAAGTCTAAGTTTAGCTTTTTCCCACGAGTGTCAGCATTTTGGGCCTGGGACAGCGCAGTGTTCGAGTCAGAGGTGTTAGCCTTAAGAAGACCAAAGCCTTGGGAAGTTTTGACCCCGCTGTCTGGAGCTGACTCACCATTTCTGTGATAAACTCTATTACCAGGTCCTCCAGAATGTCCACCGATTCCGTGTAGGGGTTCTGGTCGTCCCCGAAGCCGTACATCATGCACCTCACTGCGGGAGGAGACACTCGGCGT